CCAAGCTTCACCAATGAAAGAGAAACAGACTAAGTGTGCTACGCAGTTGCTTAGCAGGGATGAGGAACACAGAGCCGGAGAGGCAGTCTGTGAAGCCAGAGGGAAAGAAGAGCAACAGGTCCACAGGCCAGAGTTGCTGCCAGGGCCCCGACACACCTCCAAACACCCAACCACGTGGACATCAGCTGCCATCTTCAGTGTGTGAAACTTTTAAGGAATATTTAAATGTGGTCTCAGACAATAACCTAACACTTGGTCAAGCACTTAAAAAGGAAGATTTGTTGTATTAAAGGCTTCTCAAATGTATTTGGCTGCTTTGACGTTTAAAGGAAATGCTTATTACTTGGAGAGCTAAAATGGGACAAATGTTACAATTTACACACATATGACTTAACAGGCAAGAAAGTTGGACTTAGACTTCACACTTTTGAGCAAAACAATGGGAAGACCCTGATAAGGGTTTGTTTTTAATTGTCCACACATTTTTAAAAATCAGATGACTGGTTGTTTTTACTTTATAATGTAAAAAGTTTTGAAAATGTAGGTATTTTATATTAAGTGAATTTTTATTCTTTGTAATTGCCACAAATTATGGGTTGGAGCCCACATTTAAAATCTCAAACACTGTAAACTTTAGGATGTGAACAGCTGGAGATGACAGTCATACACATTACTTTCTGCAAGAGAAGTCAGAGCCATAACTGCAGTTACTGTTTCCACTATGCGCTGTAAATAGTTTCCTGCTTCTAAAACGACTTCTGACATTCAGTTCTAAACCCACGGGTGCATTTCTAAATGATGCCTGTAAAAGCTCATCCTTCTACAGAAATAAATAGTAATAGCTCATTTTAAAAACAAACTTTAGTTCAGTTAATAGTCAGATGTGCTACTCTAATGGGTGAAGAAAGCTTATCCAAAATACAAATAGGCACATATAAATAAGCGGAGTGAATCTTCAGGATTCTAGAACAATACTCTGTAGCGTCATACACATGTTTTAGGTGCTCACTGGCCCTTAAGAACAATGGCATTTGTTCCAATTCAAAGTCATGCCCAGGATTGACCAGTCCTTTGTGTGTGCTCTCCTTGATTTGAAGTGTAAACTTCTAGGGAGCAGGGATCATTTCTTTTGTATGTTCTATACCACAATGATGACACCACAGTGCAAAATGAAGACAAAGGGCAAAAACCACCACTATAGCAGCAGCATGAGAATACTTTTGATAAGGTATGTACATTTCTCATGCGGGATTCTAATATGAGGTAGATGATTCCAGAGAACTTCAGTCCTTACATCACAGTTTGATTACTGTTGAGCTCCCTTTCCCATGAAGAAAACCAGAAAACAAACAAAACCGAAACCTTGGCTTTGTATTTATCATGGAAATTCAGTGTGAAGGCTATTGTGAGAAACATGCTTTCCTTCTTGGAAATGGGATAACTACCATTTGAGATGCAAACTAAAAGCCTCTCAGAAAATGGAAGTTGACAATGTATGACACAATAATGGTGTACGAATGTAATAGCAAAGGCTGAAATATGAATACTATATTCATGGAATTGACACAATCGAGAGTAAATTATATACTTTTCAGCTGCAACTCATTTAGAAGAGTTTGAGTCTTAAATTTAAAAATAATTACAGCTCTACTTCTTGGCTGATCATCTTCTATTTGCAGGATGGGAACATAGATTACCATCTAATTTTCAAACTATTGTTTTCAGATACAAATAGTATCTTTAGATTTTATTAAAATAAATATACATAAAATTATTCCTCTAGTACTGGGAAACTGTAAAAGCTTCAAATACTATGAAATATCAAACTCCAGAAAAAGTTTAGGAGCTACATATTTTACACATAGAAAAATAATGCTTCTATACACAAGCTCTCTGAACATTCTAAATATCTATAAGGAAAATAAAGGGATGCAAACTGGATGCTCCAGGTGGTTATTAAGAGATTCTGAGGCATATAGTAACTGTCCATAGGAAAGTAGGTTATGAAGAGAAAGGAGGTATAGCTGCCAGTGAGTGGATAATAGAAATTCCTGGAATTAGGAAAATGTTTCAAAAGTAATACAAACAGTTGGAAACAACTCCAAGAAACATAAAACTATCTACTCTGCATGCTATAGATTAGGTCACCATTATAAATTCTTTCACTAAAAATATTTAATTTTAGTTTATTGATCTTTTTCTAATGGAAGGCAACGTGAAAATGATATTCAAAATACCTTTGTAAATAGCTTTGCTGGAGTGTCCCACTCTCTATTACGAATACACTGAAATTGGACTAAATAGGAAAACACTTTCAGCAGACTGTTACTTATGTTCTAGTGTTGTAGAACTGTCAATAAAAATAATGTTTATTGGTTTAAGTAAGAACAGAAGTGCTTCACCTGTAAAGGTGCTGCCCAAGGCTTGTGCTGAGATCTGGCCAGATCATTTGTACATCTCATGGAAGTGAGAACACTATTTCTTTCTGATAGGCAATAATGGCTCTATTAAACCAAGGAGCTCTCAGTTAGGTCAAATCTGTGATTATATTCTACCAAAAAATGTAGACCATGACTTTAATTCAAGATTTAATAGCAGTTTCTCATTTACAGAAATTAGTGTAAGTGTGCTCTGTGTCTGTAATAGTTAATACATACAGTTAGTTAGCTTTTCTCAGTTACATTCTCAGCCTTCACCTGGGTGTTAGAAAGAAAAAACAAGTACACTCACGTGTTAAAATCAAGAGAGTCATTGACTAATTCTGTATCTTCTGGATAACACATTCATCAATCTGATCATACTCAACTGCCAATGTCTACTTCATAAAATTACGAAGCAGAAATTCCTAGGTAGTTACTCTAGGAAGTCACCTGAAAATACTGGAAATTGTTTTAATTCCTCAAAGTGGTTTGTATAATCCTGGATTCTAGTTGAATTTTTTTATTTTGTTGGGGGAAATTTTGAGTTTGTTTTATTTTGAAATCCTCTCAAGAATATCTTAAAGGGCTTTATAGAATAATTGTTTAACAAGCCCATAGACAAAAGAATTAAGAGCATTGGGATCATGAATGAAATTCAAGGCTAGCAATCAAAGCAACTTGTAGGCCAGGCTTGGTGGCTCACACCTGTAATCCCAAAACTTTGGGAGGCTGAGACAGGCAGATTGTTTGAGCTCAGGAGTTCAAGACCACTCTGGCCAAAACAGTGAAATCCCGTCTCCATGAAAAAAATGCAAAAATTAGCCAGGTGTGGTGGTGCATGACTGTGGTCCCAGCTACTTGGGAGGCTGAGGCAGGAGGATTGCTTGAGCCCAGGAGGCGGAGGCTGCAGTCAGCTGATACTGCCCCACTGCACTCCAGCCTGGGTGACAGAATGAGACTCAGTATCAAAAAAAAAAAAAAAAAGCAATTTGTAAACTGTAACATTTTGTAAAAAGTGAAAAGCAATAATTATTGAAATATCTGTACCTTGGTTAAGGCTAAAACCAGAGTCTACCCAACCACCAAAAGAACAACAGAGGTCTTCCAATGCAAGTCAGTAACTCATCAGATGAGCAATGTATGGGGATGCACCTGGTCCCATAAAGCTGGCAGTTCTGATAGATCATATCAAAAAGTTCAAACCAAAAATTTTGTACTTGTTTTGGTCTCTGGCTCAAATGGATGCTGTGAGTATTGTGAAGCATTAAAGCAGGGCAACATTAGTTTAATTAATACTCATTGAGCACTTGCTACACGTCAGCCTCTAAAACGACAAAAAGAATTAAGACACAATATATGACCTAAAGGAGTTTACAGCCTAGTGAGAAAGACAAAAATGAACTAATGACTGATGAGATGAGGAAGGGCTATTCCAGGGGAGTCGGGAGGTCAGAGCCAGATACGCCTCAGTGTACCAGATGGGGAAGGAAGAAACGCAATGCATTGAGTGCTGAACATGCTTTCAAGGAGCTTGGCTGTGAGGGGAAGAGAGAGGACCATGCTACAGAGATAAGCAGAGTATAAAAGGGTTTTGTTTTTTATTGTTTGCTTTTAAGATTTTAAAGAGATTTCTTCACATATCTAGGCTATGGGAGGGCACCGATGGAGAGGAGTAGAGAAGGAGACAAGAAGAGGGAGACAGGGAGAGGGAATTAATATCTGATGGAACATTCTGGGATAGATGAAAGAGAGCTGAACAACTAGATACGGTCTTAAATTTATGTCTTCTTTTGGCTTAAGAAATGTCAAAATCGCAATGTTTTATTTTGTGACCACAGTTTTCAAAATGTAATTCCAAAATAAATTCTTAAGAAGCCTAAATATTTTGCATAAAATGAAGTTCATGTACCTCTAATTTAAATGCAAAACAATATAATATTATTTGAAGGAGACAAATGACATACTGGATGATATTAAATACGACTCTTTTAGACTTAATAAAATAATTAAAATACTCTTAGTATTACAGTTCATCAAATGTGATTTAAGTAAGTCTGATTTTTCTCTACGGAGGAATATTTTTTTGAAGCTGATTCATAAATTACACATTGTACCCTGTACAAAATTATCATTTCATGGCATTTGCATCAAACCTATTTTCTTATGTTCTGTTGCCTAGCTACTGGAATTCTGAAGTTTAATGGCTTTTAGATGGATATTGAAATTTTAAACAGAATTTCAGCTTATGTAGTCTACAGAAAGAAAAACTGTTGGACATATCTGTTTACTTAAATTTTCAAAGGAAATTTCTTTGTTTACAAAGGCTCAGAATTGTAAGTTTTGGAGAAGAGTGTACCAATTATCAATGGAGGACATTTAACATCACATATGAAGTCACACTAAATTCACGCCAGTTTTTTTGTTTTTATTTGTTTTTACTATGGACATGGAGATAAAATCTTTTCTTTGTCTTTCTAAAATGTTTAAGGCTTTAAGTCTATGGTTAAGGTCCTGCTTCATTTGTACAAGTCTGCTTATAATACACACATGCATGCATCTTTAGTAAGTACTTAGACTTACCTGTTCCCATGCAAACACATGTTGATTATAATAATACTGAATTTGTTCATTTGCAATGTTAATGCACAGCTGCTCGAAGGAATTTTTTTTGAAATTTTCAAAGCCAAATATATCAAGAATGCCAATGCTCAGCTCATCACCATTCCCACTAGAAGAATTGAAGAGGCATTATTTTGAGTTATTTCCTGAAGAGGTAATGTAAAACAGGGAATCTTAGAGTTACCATTTGTGATTGAGCTAAGAAACTACTATAAGAACATACACTTAGAGTGAAACTTTCTTAACTGAAATAGTTTCTCTCCATAGCACATAAAGATAATGGCAGATATTGATTTTTATATGAAAATAGAACAGTATTTTCCTGGAACTATAGAAACTACTCTGATACTGTTATATACTGAAACAAAAGAAACTTTTTCTTCTCCTAAGAACAAAGTCACAGGCTTGAGTGAGTCAGGAATTACAAGAACAACCTGAGTAGCAATTAGAACACGGCAAAAACATATTCAATAAAAACTGTCCCAGAAAAGCAAAAATTCTGTTAAAACGTATCGTTTTTCATTTTAGGAGAACAATTTTGAAAATCTTACTAAAAAGATCTTAATTATTTTAAAGAATTGTTATTGTTTTTGGATCATTTGCTCATAATTTTTTAATATAGAACAAATGGCAACCTGGAGAAAGATACAAATACATAGGGATTATTTTTACATTTAAATACTTTAAAATACAATTAGATTCTATTTTACAATTAAGTATTTCAAATACATTTTTTTTTTTACTATTGGTTAAAAGGTTTACTCCTCCCCAAAGAAATATATATATTGCAGAGTTATGTTGATGTGAATTTTTAAAAGAAAGTACAAAAGGTTCTCGTTGTGTTCATCATTTAGGTATTCATTTAGGTTACACTTAGTATTATGTAAAGGAGTGATTTGGAAATGACAGTCAGCAACTGCACACTGTGAGCTGAAGGATCCGCCCTACATTTGGAGGAAGCAACAGAATTCAAAATCCAGGCTGCAGAATACTTTAAATATGTGCTAGGATGGACAAAAGGAAAGCTATCTGAGTATATCTGAAAGTTCTTATTTTGAATAATAATTCTGTATTATTTTATGAGGCAAGATGTCTAGTTAAAACTTATGCTGGTTTAGTAAAGATTATTATCCCTTTACAATCTCTTTGCCCCACAGGATCCCACAGAGATAAATATTTAACTCACTGCATAAAAAAGTGTTAGAGCCAGGAGGGACCTTACAAATAATCCAGTTCAGAGATTCTTAAAGTAGGATCTGTTAATGGCTTTCAAGAGGACTGGAATCATAAGTATGCAATATTTTTGTGGGGATATAGAAATATATCCAGTTTTTATTTTTAAGTGAAGGAAATAGGCAGTTTTCAAGACATTCTTAAAAGGCTCCAAGATACACCCAACAACTAAGACCACTGACTTGTCATTCAAGGCCTTGTTTTTTTTTTTTTTTTTTGAGACAGAGTCTCGCTCTGTCGCCCAGGCTGGAGTGCAATGGCGCGATCTTGGCTCACTGTAAGCTCTGCCTCCCGGGTTCAAGCGATTCTCCTGCCTCAGCCTCTGGGGTAGTTGGGATTACCGGCACCCGCCACAATGCCCCGCTAATTTTTTTTTTGTATTTTTAGTAGAGATGGGGTTTCACCATGTTAGCCAGGATGGTCTCGATCTCCTGACCTTGTGATCTGCCCGCCTCGGCCTCCCAAAGTGCTGGGATTAGAGGCGTGAGCCACCGCGCCAGGCTCAATGCCCTTATTTAACAGTTGAGGAGGGAAAGACCCAGACAAATGCAGTAAGTTGCCCAGTGTCCCATAACGAGTTAGTGGCAAAGCCCAGCATACAACATATGCTGTTTAAAAACTTAGTGTACAACTTAACAAAGTTGAACTACATTATTTCAAATGGTCTCCCTTTAGTTTTTAAACTTTCTGTAAAAATTTTTAAAATCTAAGAGTTGGATGGTTTTCATTAGTGAATGGAAAGGAAAGTTGCCATTTAGTATATTTAGTATAGGTACATTTAGTACACAGGCTACAGTGGATATAGTAGATCCCCTTTCTGGGTAGGTACCATTTAGTGCCAAACATGCAGATGATAATTAACAAAATGAGGCCAAATCTCTAAATATCTTGCCTACATTTTCTGGAATATACAGATAATAAAAATCCCTGAATTTGTTCCATTTTCATATGAATGCTTGACATAATATAGATGACCGTACCAGAACATACAACCATTTTGACCATTACATCATAATGGGAAAATGGTATAGATAGTACCCAGCAGGTACAGAAGCAATTTTGAGAGACACAAAGTTAAGAACATGGAGAAATAATGGATAAGCTCTTAGACAGTTTGACTATACATAGTATTATGGTGTGGCATGTATTTTAGTGAAAAAAATAATGAATTGCATACTTGAAATGTGTATAAATGGTCTTTTATGCTTAGTAAGCAAGTGTGAATGAGGTGATCTTATGGTAGGCATCCATCTTGCTTTTCCACATGCAAAATGGCATTTATCACAGAACAAAGCTTTAGATGTAAGGACTTGTGTCCATGTATAAGCCCTGCCTATAGAGAGCACTCAATCAATGGTGGCTGTAATTATCTTGAAGAAGGAATGATCTAGACTTACAGTCAGATAACAATGCTTACATCATGGCTCTGCCATTTACTATTACCTACGTTTATCTAGTGCATTTCTGAACCAGATTTCATTGGAGTTACAGTGAGGCTGTAATGGCATTACAGTGAGAGTTAAAATGTGAAAATAAAGTTTTCCTTTATCTTTAAGGTTTAATTTAAACCCCCAAAATAAAAACAAAGAACTGCTGAGCTGACATTTTATACAAGCATAAAATGGTATATGCTTCATGGTACAACTTCTAATTTAAAAAACCTATTAGTTGATAGTAAGATATCACATTTTAAAAATTCACTTTTTATTGTGTTATTTATGTTGCTACAGGTTTTATGTTGCAGCAGTTTAAAAGTGTTATAGTTAAGTGGCATTATGAGGTGGAACTACTAGGAAGTGAAGCTTATCTACTAAATTACAATTTTGATAATTTAATTATATCAATTGTAGAAACATCTTGAAAGAGATCTATACAAAACAATCAATTAGAAAACAGATTTACATCACCTGACATTTGGGAAAAAATGTTTCTGTAAAAATTTTTACCTTGGTGATGAGTCATGCTTCAACAAACTGTTAATGCAGTTGACTATCCAACTAAAGAGACGTCCATATAAGGTTTTAGCCATGGCATCCCTGACATCGGTAGCTTTTTCTACAGTGTTGGGTCGTATAATTGTTTCTCCTCTAGTGACCACACAGTGGGAGGTGAGAGCTTCTTGTAGCTCATCTGCCTGAATACAAAGCAAAGAAGCACCTGAAAAACAAACAGATGCATTGTAGAATAAATTATGGCAATGAGGTCACTCCCCCAAAATGAAAATGTCTTAATCTGCCTTCTTCAAATGACGTGAATTAAATGTGTGGAGATTATGTAACGTAAAAATACGATACTATTCAACATGAGTCCTATGTCTCTTCTTGATCACTTTTCTCAACTTTTCTCAGCTGGTTAAACTTAGCCTACTGCATGTTACAACACAACCCAAATCACACTGGCTGGCAGAGGAATACAGCTGCACAAGCAAGTGGTTGTTTATGTGATGTCAAACATACTTTCACTAAATTATGCTAAATAATTTTAAAATATAATGAATAGCTTTGGCATAATTTGGATATCATTATTACATACACATTTTCAAAATGTAGAAATTAATTGGAAGGTTACATAGACTTCAGGGGTATACCTCAATAAATGTATTTCAAGTACCTTCTGCAATACACAACAGAAAGAGCATAAACTTACCTTGACATTCATGTACTTATACTTGACATTCATGTACATATCATCCTACTTTTTAGTTTCATACTTCAATTACTAAATTATATTAAAACTGGATGCTTGAACAAACATTTATTTGGCATTTAATGTTGATTACATTTCATGGGGAATTTAAAATTAATAACACTTTAACTCAGTGAACAAAACTCATTTTTGAATATAATAAACATCTTTAACCAAAATTATTACATGACAGATTGGCTAATTTTTCAAATCTGTTGTTCTTCTTTTAAAATATTTTGAACATTTTAAATTTAACTTTTAGCACTTGTGACAAGATGTTTCTTGGTTATGTGCTAAGATTGTTAAATCCTATATTTTTTCATATCGTGGAAGTACTATAGGCTCATTGCAGAAATTTTACCTTCTAAGTTAACATTCTGCATTTCTTTCCTTCCAGGCATATTTACTACCATTAGTCTGTACAAACATTTTATCTCATATAACATCTTATGCATTTCCCATTTTGTTCAATATTTTTTGTAAATATGCTTTAATTTGCACATAATATCCTGACAAATACAATAATATAGCAATAATTTTTAAATTGGCGGATGTTTAAATTGTTTCCCTATGTTCCAAATTGTAAAAAATGCCAGTATAGGCCAGCCGCAGTAGCTCACACCTGTAATCCCAGCACTTTGGGAGGCCAAAGTGGGTGAATTACCTGAGGTCAGGAGTTTGAGACCAGCCAGGCTAATATGGTGAAATCCCATCTCTACTAAAAAAATACAAAAATTAGCCAGGCATGGTGGCACAGACCTGTAGTCCCAGCTACTCGGGAGGCTGAAGCGGGAGAATCGCTTCAAGCCAGAAGGCAGAGATTGCAGTGAGGAGAGATTGTGCCACTGCACTCCAACCTGGGAGACAGAGTGAGACTCCATCTCAAAAAAAAAAAAAAAAAAAAATGCCATCATAAATATTTTAAGCACAAATCTGTGTTCATATTTTGTACTATTTTCTTAGCATAGGGCAGCAATTTTTCAAAATATGTAAATATGTAAAAGTTTTTTTTTTTTGAGACATATTCTCACTCTGTCATCCAAGCTGGTGTGCTACAGCACAATTACGGCTCACTGCAGCATCACCTCCTGGACTCAAGAGATCCTCCTACCTCAGCCTCCCATGCAGCTGGGACCACAGGCGCATGACAACCTACCTGGCTAATTATTATTATTATCTGGTAGATGTAATGTTTCACCATGTTGCCCAGGCTGGCCTCGAACTCCTGGGATCAAGAAAGTTTTTTGATATATACTATTTAACTGCTCTTCAAAAAGTCTGAACAAATTACACTCCTCTCAGCCAAATAAAACACCAATAATTTCAATTCAATTTCCTGGACATCAGGGACTATCATTTTTCTAAAATAGCCAATTTGATAGGAGAAAATGTTTTCTATTTATTTGTAATTGATTCCTAGTGAAGCTGAATACTTTCTTCTTTCATATTTTTATTGGTAATTTGTGTTTCTTAGTTTGAAAATTGCAATATTTTCATTGATATGTTCATCTTTTACTGATCAATTTATATGAGACTCTTCATAGCTTAAAGAAATGCTTTGATATATATGTTGTAAATATTTTCCCTCAGTTTCATTTGTACTGCAATTTTATTTATGTCTTTTTTTCAGTATAAAAGTTTTAATTTTTATGTAGTCAAATATCCATTTTTTAAAGAAAATCATTTGTGCTTTTGATTTTCTACACATAAACTTCTTCAAGTCCTGTCTCCCCTCAAAATTATATAAATCAATTCCAGTCTCTTTTACGATTTTTTTGCATTTAAATGTGTGTATGTTTGGAATCCATTCTGGTATACAGTATATGAGAATGATTCAAATTCCTCCTCCCCAAAATGGTTAGCCAGTTCTCTACAATACTGATTCCCTAGTGATTTGTAAGGCCATTTTTGGTAATATACTTTGGATCTGTTTCTGAACAGTGTCTCCCACTGATCTGTGTGTCTATTTCTGTTCCTACATTGTTTATTTATTTGACATAGATTTATTGTCTACTACATGCTAGGCATTTTACCTGGGGATATATTGCTAAGTACAATACTTTCTAAACAAAGCACTAGTCTTGATGATCTTTATCCAGCAAGAATGGGAAGCCAATCAAGAAATTTAAGCAGGAAGAGAAAAGGAGAAGGAGGAGGAGGAGCAGAAGGAGAGGGAGGGGGAGAGGGAGGTGGAGGTGAAGACGGAGAGGGAAAGGGGGAGACTGAGAGAGCCCACTGATACATGGGTTATGTAGTTTCTGAAATAATCGTGGAGAATGACCTGGAAAAACTCAATTTTTTATGTGATATGAACAAATGGGAGGTCACTTGTTCAGGTGAGAGGTGATGTTGTTTTTCATGAGAATGGCGACAATGATGATAAAGAGAAGTGGTCAGATTTGAGAGATATTTATGGGACAAAATGGTCAGAACCGATGCTTAATTGAAACAACGCTTTTGTAAAACCATATGGAAATGCAGCCTTGGTTTGGACATAATTCCTTATAACTTTTCATTAAAGCATTTTAATATAAATTAATAAAGTTTTAACTTTCCATGAGTGGTTATTCCAGAAAGTACGTTAATTAATTTCAATGATATTCATATTAATATCAACGTTTTGTAACCTATATGACTGTCTTCTCTTATGCAGAAATAGGTTCTCAATCATCAAAATCATTTTTTAGTATGGTTGTTTCTAGGTATACTCTTACCTACAACCTATCTCTATTGCAACTCATTCCACTGGCTGCTGCTAGTTCTTATGAATATGATCAGATGTAAGATTTACAACTTATCAATGGAGTTGTAGGGTTATTCCTTCTACTTCTGATAAGTTAATATCATACATGCCAATTAAATTTTTTATATATGGAAAATTAGAACATGTTTCCTTGAGGTTTCCAGGCACATGCCAGTCACTACAAGCCAACTCCATACACTTGTGCTACTGTATTCCCACACTGGCTCCAGAGACACAGTGGGATAGCATTTATAGGGATGTTGGGGACAGGTCCAGACCAGGATAATTTGGCACTTAGCCCCCTAAAACTATCCCATCTCATTCTGTTCCTGAGCATAAATCAGGAAAAAGTATATAAATTAAAATTTGTATTATGATTCTCTATTTTGTGTGTGTGTGTCTGTGTGTGTGTGCGTGTGTGTGTTTGTGTTTTGAGACAGAGTCTTGCTCCGTCATCGAGGCTGGAGTGCAGTGGCACAATCTCAGCTCACTGCAACCTCTGCCTCCTGGGTTCAAGCGATTCTCCTGCCTCAGCCTCCTCAAGTAGCTGAGACTACAGGCATGCGCCACCACACTAGGTTAATTTTTGTATTTTTAGTAGAGACAGGGTTTCACCATGTTGGCCAAGCTGGTCTCAAACTCCTGACCTCAGGTGATCCACCAGCTTCGGCGTCCCAAAGTACTGGGATTAGAGGTGTGAGCCTTTGGGCTGGGCATGGTGGCTCATGCCTGTAATCCCAGCACTTTGGGAGGCCGAGGTGGGCGGATCACGATGTCAGGAGATCAAGACCATCCTGGCTAACACGGTGAAACCCCGTCTCTACTAAAAATACAAAAATTAGCCAGGCATGGTGGCAGGTGCCTGTAGTCCCAGCTACTTGGGAAGCTGAGGCAGGAGAATGGCATGAACCTGGGAGGTGGAGCTTGTAGTGAGCCAAGATCACGTCACTGCACTCCAGCCTGGATGATAGAGTGAGACTCTGTCTCCAAAAAATAAAAATAAAAATAAAATAAAAAAGAGATGTGAGCCTCTGGACCAGGACTGATTCTCCATTTATTATTATTAATGAAACAGCAAATATGGAATTATGAAAGTGTGTGCCAATATTAAAAATAAAATAACAGGGCATACTAGGTAATACTAAATAGAAAAAAGCTGTGCTGTTGCAGATATTAATGGAAAACCTTAAATTACTGGAAATAATTTATCAAACTCTACTATTAAGGAAAACTTGATTTGAAGCAAATACTATGACATGCTTCTCTTGTGTAAAAATGATTGCAAAATTAATCAACCCAGGATGAATGAGTGTAAAATCCATCTAGTATGAAAACATACAGGTCTTTATTACTTGTAAAATGATATAGATGTTAAATCTATAAGACAATAACATAATTCTTTTTCAGATCAGTTTACTGAATTTTAACTATACTATCTGTGCTTTTATATCGAAATGTAAATAGCTCCCAAAATAGTCATAAAAGCCTAGTCTTTAGAAACATTTTCTACAGTAATCAGTTAATTTAGAAGCGTGAAGATGTTTTAAGTAGTGGACTTTTAAATTTTAATTTTACACACATTAAATCTGAGTATTCTTTTAAGGATTCTAGGTTAGCACAATTGCTTGAAATGATCCTTATGTGATACTTATGGTATGTCATAAGACTTTGAAAGATTTCAGTTTTGAATAGAAGATAATAAAACTTACAGTTCTCCAGGGCTGTATGATTAGAAATGTGGCTCTTGTCAATCTGGTGTTCAGATGCCACAGAAGAAAATTCAATGTTGCCAACATTCAAGATTGCAGCCAGTATACTGTATATGCTTCCAAGTTGCTGAAACACACCATAGAAACATTAGCGTCATTCTTCCCTTGAGTACAGCCAACCAGTGACTATGACTGGGGACAGATAGGGAGAGAACCCTCAGGCCCTATCATATCTATCCGTAGACTATGATAATGCCACACTGAGATCCAAGTAGGCTCATCCTCTTTCATTATTTTAACCTCAGAGGTTAGCATAGTGCCTGTTACCCAGTAAGTGCTTAAAAATATTTTATAAATGCAAATATGAATAAAAAATAAAAATGAGAAGCTGTTCTCAGAGGAAGTAGAAATGCCTCATTCATTAGGCCATAGATAAATCTATCCATGCAGAATTGAATTTCAGAACTTAGTGTGGTTGTTACCATATGGATTTTCCTTGAGGCCATCTTAAAAGTGAGGCTGTATGTGTGAATAAAGGAGAGCTAAGAAAGAAAAATCAAAAGATCCCAGGACCAAAATCAAAGGATATGTGTGGTTTAAATGTAAGCATAAGATTATTATTATTTTTTCTTTTTTGAGACAAGGTCTTACTGTTGTTCAGGCTGGAGTGCAGTGGCACTATCTCAGCTCACTGCCACCTCTGCCTCCTGGGCTCAAGTGATCCACCCTCCTAAGCCTCCTGTGTAGATGGGACTACAGTTGCATGCCACCATGCCCAGCTAATTTTATTTTTGGTATTTTGTAGAGACAGGGTCTCGCCATGTTGCCCAGGCTGGTCTCGAACTCCTGGGCTCAAGCGATCTGCCCATCTTGGCCTCTGAAAGTGCTGGGATTATTGGTGTAAACCACTGTGCCAGGCCACATAAGAATTTTAGATGACAGCGTAGAGTTTATAGCAGTTATTACTTCTTTAACATACATTCCTAATTAAGGTACATCAAATTAGATTCAGAAACACATATACACACATATATGATTCTTTTTGGAGATACTGGAGGCATTTGTCAAGGAGTCTGTGGTAATTCTAGCTCTTCAACTATGTTCATGGTACAGTGAAATACAGGAAAGAGGCAAAATTCTTTACTGTTTTTACAGGTTGCTGCATCTATTCCAGCCCAGCTCCTACACTTAACAAAGGTGATTATTCCATTCACTCCCATATTCCAAGTCCAGATAAAAGCTGGATATGAAAAAACATCTTCAAGGACATGCATTTACTCATACATAATAAATATATATGTAGTAAATATATAAACAACAAATATATTTGTTGAATGAATATATATGTGGGATATCTATTCATTGATCTAATAAAAACATATTTTATGCTGGGCATTGTTATAGTCTCAGGTAATTCAGTAGCAGATAGGCTAAGGATCCTGGCTTCCTTGGGGTGTTCAGGCCGTGCGGGGGTCGGGGGGCAAACAGTAGGAAAATAAGCAAATAAACAAACATGATATGTTCTGAAAAAAAATTACAAGGGCTACGAAGAAAATAGAGCTAAGAGGTGCTAACTTAATAAAGAGGAGAGTTCCTGGGAAAGGACAGGCAGACTTTTTCAGTTAGGAGGTCGGGGAAGGTTGTCCTCAGAGGAGGCGATGTGGAAGTTGAGGCCTGAATGACAGGAAGTCACCAGACATGAACTATTCTAGGCAGAGGACAGCAAAGGCAAAAATCTTCCTAGAAGAAAGAAGGAAGACCCATGAGGGCAGGAAGAGGGTGAGGATGAGGAACGGTACAGTAAGAAATCAGAGAGGTGAGCCTGGGCAACACCACCCAGGCTCTCTGGGCCAACAGAAAGAGCTTGAGCTGGGCACTGTGGCTCACACCTGAAATCCCAGCACTTTGGGAGGCCGAGGCAGTTGGATAACTTGAGGTCAGGAGTTTGAGACCAGCCTGGACAGCATAGCGAAACTTTGTCTCTACTTAAAATACACAAATTAGCTGGGCGTAGTGGCATGCACCTGTAATCCCAGCTACTCGGGAGGCTGAGGCAGGAGAATCACTTGAACCCAGGAGGCGGAGGCTTCAGTAAGCCGAGATCGTGCCACTGCACTCCAACCTGGGTGACAGAGTGAGGCTGAGGCTGGGCTGCCAAAAAAAAAAAAAAAGCTTTGATTTTGTGCTAATTGCCAGAGAAAGCTACCAGAGATTTCAGAGTGGGAAGTAACATTATCTTTTGTGTTTTAAATGGATGAATCTAGTTATACTGTGAAACAGAGTGGATTGGGGCAAGACGGAAAACTCAGGAGGCTACTGCAGTGGTCTAGGTGAGAGGTAACAGTGACTTGGATATAACAGTAAATGGTAGAGATGGAAAGAAGTAAATGCATGTAGGGTGTATTTCAGAAGTGGAACAATACCTATGCTGACAGATTAGATGTAGATAATTTTTCTAAGGAAATTCTGGTAAGGAATTAGCATTTGTAATATGCATAACTTGCAATGAAGCAACCAGCATGGGCTTTCATGGCTTTCAGGTGGAAAAATTCATACAGCATCTGACATTGTGCTGTATTTTTCTGGAGGAAACTATAGGCCTTAGAAAAAAACAAACAACCTTATTAAAAAGTGGGCAAAGGATATAAACAGACACTTCTCAAAAGAAGACATACATACAGGCAACAATCACATGAAAAAAGCTCAAGGTCACTGATCATTAGAGAAATGCAAATCAAAACCACAATCAGATACCATCTTACACCAGTAAGAATGGTTATTATTAAAAAGTCAAAAAATAACAGATGCTGGTGAGGTTGTGGAGAAAAAGGAACGCTTCTACACTATTGATGGGAGTCTGAATTAGTTCAACCATTGTAGAAGACAGTGTGGCAATTCCTCAAAGACCTAAAGACACAAATACTATTTGATCCAGCAATTTCATTACTGAGTATATACCGAAAGGAGTATAAATTGTTCTATTTTAAAGATACATGCATGTATATGTTCACTGCAACACTATTCACAATAGCAAAGACATGGAATCAACCTAAATGCCCATCAATGATACATTGGGTAAAGAAAATACATTGGTACATATACACCATGGAATACTATGTAGCCATAGAAAAGAATGAGATCTTGTCCTTTGCAGGGACATGGATGGACTGGAGTCCATTATCCTTAGCAAAATAGCGCAGACACAGAAAACCAAATACCACAGGTTCTCACTTGTAAGTGGTAGCTAAATGATGAGAACACATAGACACATAGAGAAGAACAACACACACTGGGGCCTATTGGAGGTTGGAGGGTAGGAAGCATGGCACAGGGTAGGAGGAGGGAGAGGATCAGGAAAAATAACTAATGGGTACCAGGCTTAATACCTGGATGATGAAATAATCTGTACAACAATACCCTATGATACACGTTTCCCTATGTAAACAAACCTGCACAGGTACCCTGAACTTAAATAAAAGTGTTTTAAAATGTGTTTTTTTACCCTTGATAAGGATGTTACCAATGTAATTAGTATAAAACTGGTATATGAATTTGGAAGTGTATAAAATGATGCAGAATTCCATCATAAAGTTTAAGGGATTGGTTGAATCCAGTAAAACAGTGAAGAGGCTTGGCTGTATATAGAGTTGCATCTCCAAATCCTGCCTACCCAAACCTGCAGAAAAATTCTTCAGAGGGGTTATAATGAAAATTGAGTAGGAGTAACACCTGAAATATGCCAAGTGGAATGTATGATACACCAGGTAACACAAGTAAATATCAGCTGAAAGGTACATCTTGGGGTTCCCCATCTGGATCTGATGAGAATAGACCCAGATCTGTGGCTTGGATTAAATGACCTTAAAATAGTCGTTCTCAATTGTGGGGAAAGGGGTAACAACTCTGCCCTCACAGGACATTTGGCAACGTCTGGAGACGTTTTTGGTTGTTACAAATGGGGTTGGAATGCTACTGGCATCTACGGAGTAGAGATCAAGGGTGCTGCTTAAACATCCTACATTGCATAGGAGAAACCACGCAAGAATTACCTGGTCCCAAATGTAAATAGTACTGAGGTTGAGAAACCTTGTCCCAGAAAAAAGCAGGATCTAGATTTTGGAGAAAGTTTCAAAATTCTTTCTCCCCAAAGAATAGTCCTGAACTTTTAGTCTCAGCTCAGAACCCCAGGAAAATATAAAAATAAGAATAGAGGTATTGAAGTAAATGAAATCTGTAGTATCTGTTGTGGGTTGAATTGTGTACTCCTCAGATTCATATGTTGAAGTCCTAAGTCCCAGTACTCAGAATGTGGTCTTATTTGGAAATAGGGTCATTGCAAATGTAAATAGTTAAGATAAGGTCATTCTGGAGTAGGGTGGATTCCTAATCTACTATACTGGTGTCTGTTTAAAAGAACACCATGTGAAAAGACAGACACACACAAGGAGAGCACCAGGTGAAGACAAATTTAGGTGGAGATGGAGTGATGGACCTGCAGTACAAAAATACCAATGATTACTGGGGAACCACCAGAAACTAGGAGCAGAGCATAGAACAGATTCTCCCTCACAACCCTCAGGGGAAACAAACCCTGTCCACATCCTAATCTCAGACTTTGAGCCTCCTGTGCTGTCAACAATACATTTCTGTGGTTTAAGCTACAAAGTATGTGTTAGTTTGTTATGGCAGCCCTACCAAACTAATGCTTTTTTTTTGGTTAAATTTATGAATAAGATATGTAATCTCAGAATAATCAGTGTGTTTATTCTTAAATATCTAAAACTTAATATGTGAGACATAGTAAAGATCACATTAGTGACATAGTAAATCCTCTGACAATTAGTCTTGCGACTTAAATTTAAATACTTATTTGATATAACACTTATGACCTTAAATTGAAAAGCAGAACATATTTTGATTGCAAACTGCATTCAAATGTAAAAGATAACTTGATTTACTACATTAATAATTTTGAATTATTATATCTTCTTAGGCACTAATAAGTTTAAGTGGATAAGAAGATTTGGTAAATTATTAGAAAGTTTAGAAAGCACTTATCAGTCCTCGTAAGCCTGCTCTGTCCATCATTTGGAGCATTCAAAAGACTGAGATGTACTAAATATTTAT